CTTTCCCAAACTTTGAGAAGCATTCCCTGCCTCCTCCTCCTTGCATGGCCTCAGCTCCACAAGGCGTTTGAAATGTTTGCTTTTTGACATAGGCATGTAGGGAAGGGGGTGGAACATTTCAGGGGAGTTTGGAAGGCTGGCAGCCGCTGTCAGGGACAGCCACCGGGTCAGGGAAGACGTCACTTACCTTTAACCTGTGCTTTACTTTGCTTGCTCCATTCCTGCTCTGCGGTGAAAGCGGAGTGCTGGGTGGTTTTTGTTTTTGTTTTTGTTTTGAGACAGGGTCTGTCGCCAGGCTGGAGTGCAGTGGCGCCATCACAGCTCACTGCAGCCTCGAACTCCTGGGCTCAAGGGATCTTCCCACCTCAGCCCCTGGAGTAGCCAGGACCACAGGCATGAGCCAATGTGCCCAGCCAGAGTGCTAGGTTTTTCCAAGTGTCAGGCTTGTGGGGACTTAATCCTGGGGCTGTGTGTGAGGAGGGAAGGGGTGCGGTTGACGCCCAGGGTGCTGGCAGCCCAGGGCGCTTTAGGGGATGGAGCTGGGAGGCTTCCCCCTCGCCCCTGTCCTGGGTGCAGCTTCGTGCTCCGGGATCTGTCTGTGCCCACCCCGGCTTCCACCCTGTGGGCTCTGCCCAGGGCACCGGCCTTCGCGCTCCCAGCAGCCTCTGGCCCAAGCTCTCTCTGCCTCCTGTTGTTCACAGGCGGCCTCGCCAGTGAAGTCTGTCTAAGGCGGAGTCTGTACCCACCAATTCAGACCCTGCCAAACAGGCCGACTGAGGGTTCACGTGGCCTCAGCCAGGTTACCCTAAGCTCTCTGGGCTCGTTTCTCAACTGAAAAAAATGACAGGATCATTGAATAGGGCCACCTGAGGATTCGTGAACCTAACACAGGTTGGCAAAGTGCTCCCATGGCGCCCTGTCCATAGTAAGTGCTCACTGCTCGTTGTCAGCTCTTAGGACTTACTTGGACAACAGAAGAGACAGGACCCTTTGGTCTCAGTTAACTGTGCATATCGGCCATGCTTTGGGCAGGGCCTGTGCCCACCTGCCCCTGTGTAGAGCCCGTCAATCATTCCTGAGAGCAAGGTGAGCTACAGAGAGGCCATTTGGAAAATCCTGCCCTGCTCTCTGGGCCCCACTTAGCTGGCTGGGCCAGGTGGCCGTTCCCTTCACATCTGGGACACTCGGGCTCACTTCCCTCCAAGAAAAGCAGGAGAGGACCCTGCTCCCCAGCTCTGGAAATCTTCCACCTCCCGGTGCAGCACGCCTGTCCTCTCCGAGGCCCCTCTGCTGTTGTCTGCTCCAGACACGCTCTCCTTGAGCACAACCACGGGGCTTCCGATCCCTGTTCTGCCACTTACTGCCTTCGTGGTCTTGGGGTGTTCTGAGAAAGCCTCGGTTTTGTCATCTGTAAAATGGGTGACACCCACGCCTTTCATAGATACTGTGAGGATGAATAAGAACTCCCACAGGGCCCTGAGTGTTCAGTCGCGGTAGCTGTTATAACACCATTGTTTTCCTGTCTTTGGAAACACTTTCTCACGGGAGACCTGTGGCCGGTTAACGTACTGGGTTTCGGTTTCCCGGTCTGCAAAATGGGAATGACGACAGTTTCTGTTTCTTAGGGTTGCTGTGAGGGTGGAAAGAATCAATAAATTTTAGTTACCAATATTATTGTTCTCATCTCTGTCGCTAATGTTTTTAGGTTGTCGGGGGATGACTGAGCCGAGTCCCGCGAGCCGCCACCCCCACTCCTCTCAAACACATTGCACGTGTGGTGGAATCATGTGCATGTATATTGATACACACATATAAAATGTTAACTCTCTTTACGCTTGGAAAAATGATGCAGATATCTGGAAAGGTGACACAGATGTCATCAACACAGGTGTCTGTTTTTATCTTCCAGAGGAGCAGGGAGGGTGGATGCTCCGGGAGGCCTGGGAGGAGCTCTAGTCTCACCCTCTCAGCCCTCCTTTCCTCCCCGTGCCTGGGCTCCCGCCCGCCTCCCCAGAAGCGCGCATCGCTTTGTCCCAGGACTGGGAACCGGGCTGTCTGCCCTCATCCCACGCTGAACCCAGCTTCTGTGGGGCCCCAGAGTTGGAAACACCACTGTCCTCCGCAGCGTCCGGGCAGGCCAGGGGTCTCAGGACTTTCCTGCAGGCTGGGAGATGGGTTCTCACCAACTGACTCCGGAGATGAGCGCTTTTCTGGGATCTGAAGGCTTATGAACCTGTAGGGAACTGTCGGTGTCCGCATCTGGCTCTCTGGGACACCCACTCCGCCCAGCTGTGTCCCAGGCTTGGCCACCCCCACCGGGCCTCCGCTGCATCCTCAGCCCACGGAGCCTCCAGAGCCTCCGCACGAGGGCGCATCCGCTCCCGGCGCCAGGGGCTTGTGCCTGCACTCCCCGGAAACATGGAAATGCGCCCCGGCTCGGGTTCCTTCCAACCGCGCCCCGAGGCTCCAGTTACAAACTCTTCACCTGGGAGCCCAGAATTTATCTCCTGGCCCGCGCGACACCGGAGTTCTACAGCTGAAACCTCCCGGAGATTTTGCAAAATTCTGCAAACGCACGGCCTGGGTGTGCGCCTCCAAACCGCGACTAGAACTCCGGTATTTTTTTTCTCATTACTATCTGTGTCCCGCCCACCAGCGGCGCGTGTCTCCGCCCGCGTCCGGCCCATGACCAAATTGGGCGCTGTTTATTATTGTACCAATTCAAGCTGGGATTTGCCTTAGAGTTTAGAGGACGCGCCGGGACAGCCGCATTTCGGGAGAGGCAGGGATGTGCGTGCTGAACTTCGGGTGCCTGGGGACCTCCAGGAGGGGCTGCGGCGGCGCCAAGGTGGGGGAGGGGGCTGCATGGTGACACCGATTTATCTCTCGGTCTGGGTCTGTTCGAGCAAGCGCAGAAGCTAGGAACCGGAGCTGGATCCAAATTTGAAATTGCTGGGGGCTCGCTGGTCTGGAGAGGTCGGGTGACCCCCGGGACTGTGGGGCCCGCGGCTAACAAAGGCGCGGACATTGGGGTTCTTTTTCACCCCAGAGTTGAAAGAGGTGCGACGGTGAGAGAGAGGGGTCTGGAGAGGACAACAACCCGACCCCTCCCGGCTAGAGGGCCACCCCCAGGACCTGGGCCGCCCCAGAAAGGCAGCGCCTGGGAGGGAGGCCTGGAGGTGCCCAGGGCCTGGCCAGTACCTGCCCCCAAACCGGTTTCTCGACCCTGATCGCGACTTCCTTGTCGGTGTTTTAAAACTTATCTGCTCCCCTGCGGCCTGTTTATTCCATGGGTTGGGGTTCCCCAAGGAGAAACTCTGGGGTCCCCATTTGGCAGAGGATGCTCCCCACTTTTCGGTGTTCGGAGGCTACCTGAGCACTCCCAACCAGTCCCCAGCCTGGTGTCATCTCTCTGCAACAGTGGTGGCGGCAGATCCTGCCCCCACCCCAATTAGTCGGCATTTAGTGTCTCTGCAGGCTTCTAGGAGGTCCCTGGCAGGGGGCCCTTGGTGGGCGCTTTTGATGCCCACCTGCCATCCTCACCCTTCTCTCTTTGGTATGGCTGCAGGATTTATTCAATGAAACGCTAATTCAGTTATCGCAAGTGTTTTCTATTTTCTTTAAAAAATATTCAGTGGCGGTCATAAACAGGAAGTCATCAGGCTCCGTGCCCTGCGCCCCTTGCCCAGCGCCTGGAGTGGGGGGAGAGATGCCTCCTTCAGAGTCCACATCCTCCAGTATTTTTGATTCAAGCCCTGACGTGGCTCGATGTAAAATGAGACAGGGGTGGGGGTGCTTACACCCCAGGGTGGGGGGGTGGTGGAGGGCAAGCGGCTTCCCAAATGCTTAATGTAATCACCGGCCAGCTGCGTGCACTTGTAAAGTTGTTATAACCCCCCTCCTTGATATAAACAGGAAAGCCCAGAATATAAAGCAAAAGACCCGCATTGACAAATACCGCTCTCCCACCAGCTGCCAAGCTCCCCTTTTATGGCGTTCCTGGCTTGCAACCTTAGCCCCATCACAGAGACCTTAGTTTCCCCCCAAACTCTCCAAACGGGTTTATTTTGAAACCTGCCTCAACGGAGCTGTGGACCAGGTACCCCGGGCCCTCTCCGTCTCCCCGGTGCCGAACGCCTTCCCTTCCAGAGGGGCTGGGCGCCAGGAGCCACTTGGGTGAGCCCTGTGGGAGGGGAGGGTCCTCGGGTACCGGGTCCCTAGAGAGTGCCCGCCTCCTGCAGGGTCCACCAAGTGTCTCTCCAGGCAGGGCTGCATCCCCTTCCCCACAGACACCCACACCTCTAAGGTAGACACACCTCCCCATATCTAAAAGGTTTCAGGGACCTCAGAAAGCATTTTACTACATGGTGCCATCTCTGCATCTCCTATTAAGCCTGGGAGAAGAAAAGACCTTTTGTGGGAGGCCCTGGGGTTACGGGGCTCCCCCAGGACAGCGGTAAAAGTCAGCCCTGAGCACCCACCCCCATCTCCACCGCTCCTTCCTGGCCCCGCAGACGCTGCTCTGAGCCACCGCGGTCCACATCCTGCCTCGCTGACTGTGTGTGCTTACAGCGTCAAGGGGTGGACGTGATATTTCAAACATCAGATCAGTGCGTTTATATATTGGGTGCCCGGAAATTTTTCCAAATAAACACAGCTTGATTCAACTTGGGTGGGCGGACTTATCAACAGACTAATTCTATAAACAAATGAAGGAATAGCCCCGAAACCGATTGGCTGGTATCAAAAAGACACGTGGAGGGAAAAGCTTGGAGTTTTTCGGCAATGAAATTTTAATTAATGTGGGTGGGCTGAGAACACAACGACTGTTTATCATAGACAATTTATTTTCCAGCGCTAAGTCAACATATAATAGCAAACTTACAACAATTATTTAACATTTTTAAAGCCATGAAGAAGGGACAGAACACGGAGCGGCAGGGGAGAGCGGCGGAGCTGGAGGCAGAGGCGCGGCCGGCTCCCCAGGAGGGCCCTCGCAGCAGCGCAGGGCGCAGTCCCTAAGCCGCCGGGTCGCCGCGTCGCCATGAGCCACCTCTTCAGTCCCCGGCTGCCTGCGCTGGCCGCCTCGCCCATGCTCTACCTGTACGGCCCCGAGAGACCCGGGCTGCCTCTGGCCTTCGCCCCCGCGGCTCTGGCCGCCTCGGGCCGGGCCGAGCCCCCGCAGAAGCCGCCCTACAGCTACATCGCGCTCATCGCCATGGCCATCCAGGACGCGCCCGAGCAGAGGGTCACGCTCAACGGCATCTACCAGTTCATCATGGACCGCTTCCCCTTCTACCACGACAACCGGCAGGGCTGGCAGAACAGCATCCGCCACAACCTCTCGCTCAACGACTGCTTCGTCAAGGTGCCCCGCGAGAAAGGGCGGCCCGGCAAGGGCAGCTACTGGACGCTGGACCCCCGCTGCCTGGACATGTTTGAGAACGGCAACTACCGGCGCCGGAAGAGGAAGCCCAAGCCCGGCCCCGGGGCCCCGGAGGCCAAGCGGGCCCGCGCCGAGACGCAGGACGGCGGCGCAGACGCGCAGCCAGAGGCGGGGAGCGGCGCGGGGGGCTCGGGCCCCGCGATGCCCCGCCACGAGGGAGCGCCCGCGCGCCCCTCGCCCCTCGCGGAGCCCTCTCCGCCCGCGCGCCTCCACTGGCCCCGGCCTGCGTCCCCAGACGAGGACGCGGGCGACGCTGTCCAGGGCGCGGCGGCAGGGGCGGTCGGCCAGCCAGCGCGCACGGGGGATGGCCCGGGGTCCCCTCCGCACCCCACCTCCCGCGGCTCCCCGAGGAGCTCCGACAAGTCCAAGAGCTTCAGCATAGACAGCATCCTGGCGGGAAGGCAGGGCCAGAAGCCGGCTGGAGGGGACCAGCTCCCAGGGGGCGCCAAGCCGGGGCCGGGCAGCTGTCTGGGCGCCTCGCTTCTGGCCGCCTCCTCCAGCCTCCGCCCGCCGTTCAACGCTTCCCTGATGCTCGACCCGCACGTCCAGGGCGGCTTTTACCAGCTGGGGATCCCATTCCTCTCCTATTTCCCTCTGCAGCTGCCCGACACGGTGCTCCACTTCCAGTAAAGCCAACAGTGGCGCCGCAGTTCTCTTACCTGCCCAGGTCTGAGCCTCCTCTGAGCGACCAGACACAGCTCCCACGGCGGCCGGCGGAAACAGTCTTGTTCTTGTAAAATGGTCTTTCCCTGGGTCGGTGTGTGGGTTATGGGAAGTGCTACCAACCTCTGCGCCAGGTGGGCACGCTAGCCTGCCTCCCCCCAAGGGGACTTTCCCCAGCAACCTGGAGCGGCTTCTGAGATTTAAAAACCCCCGTCTGGACGGGACTTGGGCACCACAGACCCCCAGCTGCAGGAGCAAGAGAATTCCTTGATGTTACGTGGTCTAAAGGCATGATCTTCGCTACCCTCCACAGGTGCTGTGCGTCTCGGGTACTGAGGGCCCAGCAAACAGCCCAGGTGGGACATGTAGACTCGATGCGGTCCTTTCAACCTGGTAGCTCCAGTCTGACTCTCCCAGCTCAGCAGTCTCTGTGTGGCCCAGGATTTGGCTTTGAGCCCGGCTGGGTGGTGGGTGTTCACAGCTGGTTTGTCCCTGAAGCCCAGTTATGGGGCGCCAGGGGTCACCTCTGTTTTTCGGGTTTTCTGGGCCTGGTAAGGATTTACACCACTGTTAAGGTGGAAGTTGAGAAACCACCAAGAGCAATAACACTTGCTTTAAACAGGAAGTTTTCCTCTTGGTTTCTTTCTAGACAGTAAAAGGAACATGCTTTATTCTTTGCCTAAATCCTTGACTCTTTTTCACTATAAACATTGCCCTTTGAAAACATCTGCATTAACACCTCTATTAAGAAAGTGCACTGTGCGGTATAGCGTCGTGCTAGCTCGGCCATCAAGACACATGCTCTGCAGCCCATGTAACCAACAGGAGCAGAGCTCCTAGCTTTTTGCTTTTGTTTTTAAGGGATCTAAAGATTTCAAGGGACAGGACAAGGGGGAAGGGTGTGAAGGGGACAGAATATGCCTCAGATGGTGTCCAGAGTCAGCTCGGGAAGGACTACGCCTAACCTCTACGGAGTTAGACGGGGCTTACAAACAGGGAGCGGTTGGAGAGGGAGGTGGGCTCATGTGGGGGAAGAAGGAGGGGAGCTGCTGGTGTCCGCTGGAGGCGGCTTCTCTGGACCCCAAAGGATGTGAGGCTTGATGGCAGGGTCTCTCAGGCTCTCCCAGCCTCCGGAACCGCGGCCTGAAGCCTGCCTTGCTCTCCCTGCCCCTCCCAGGCAGGCCTGGAGGCCGAAGTTAAATAAACACCTTAAAGAAGTAACTAGAAGTCCGGAGCAGGGTCTGCAACAAAGACCTGGTTAAGAAAATTGAGGTTTTCACAGAACTTAGGGGAAATGCACCCAACCTCTTAGGGCAGCTGTATTTGGGTTACCTTGAGGTCTCTGAAACTCAGTTTCCTGAACCTCCTAGAAACTTTCATTTTACCTGATGTGAGCAAGGCACAAAACACCATGAATGCTTGGAGACAGGCTGGGAGGGAGTCCTTAAAATAATTTTTAAAATAGTTTCCAGGACTTGCATGAAAGCCATCACGAAGGTTATGTCAAGAGGGCCTGCTGGCCAGTACGTGGGAAAGCACTTCGCAGGCAGGCCTAATAATTCCATCATCAGCAGGCACGGGGTTGACTTTCTGAAAACGCATTTGTACAGCCGTGCCGAACCGTGGGCTGCCGATCCACGAATGTTTCCACCACGGGGTGCTACCCAGGCCAGGAGGAAGCCTTCGGTGAGCTGCAGAGAATCCTTGGTTTGAAGGACTTTGGCGAGAGCCCACCCTGAGATCCAGGCCCAGCGCGGTTAACTGAAGATGTGGTGGACGGGCTGTCATTGGATATTTTGTTATCCCAAACGCTCAGCCTCTGTGAATAAAGTTGTTTTTTCATTAACCTCTCAGTGACTGGTTCAGTGGGTTACGGGGAGGAAATACACAAACAGTGGAGTAGGAAAGAGGAGACGGGATTATATTTGAGAATCGTGTCAGCATCGCAGGAAGCTCTGGCTTCTGAGGGGTAAACACAGACCGAGGGGGAGGCCCCCGCTCCGCGGACAGTCGGGTGAGCGGTTCTGCTGTCCTGGGTACGTTTTTAATTTCTTCTTTCTCCTTGTTGTGGTTGCTATGCTATCGTGTGTGTTTTTGGGGATTTGCAATGGCTCTTATTGAAGAAGCAAATAATTTAATACTGCTGTTTTAAAAGGATCCCATTTTAGGGTTACAACTCAGCAAAGTATTGTATAAGGATTATTTTTATGGCACAGACAAAATGCAGGAGTATGTGTCTACTTTGCATGTTTATATACACATGAAGAGAATTTCTACCTAATCCCCACTTTTGTCTGGTTTAGAAAAGCTAAGAGAAATAGACAGTGAGATCATTTTCTGTGTGATCCTCGAGTCCACGTGTGTTCTTTCCTACTGAACAGAAAAGAGGGGCTTTGGGTCTCAGTAACTCAAATAGCTGTTCTGATGTTCCAGATGTAATCATTGGCTTAACAAGGCCGAGACAGAGTTTTACTCTTAATTAAAACAAAATCTCAGCTATATTTAGGATAAGCAGCAAGCTTATCATTCTACTCTTATGCAACCTGAAGGTAGAGTTCTCTGCTCTCATTGAAACAAAGATAACAGATTCCGATTTCTGTAAATGATCTTTGGTTCGAGCCCTGATCACACACACACACACACACACACACACACGCACACACACACACACGCTGAGTACGCTGATTGTGATGGGTGTTACGGTAGGCACGTGTATGATAATATGATCAGTGTGTATACGTATGCATATGTGTATGTATGTGTATATATGTACACACTGAATGTGTAGATATGTATGTGTGTGTGTGTGTGTACATTTGTTCTGCACACAGCAATGCTCAGAAATTTATCTTTTCTGCTCAGATCAAGTGCTGAGTCCTTTGAAATTAACCCAAGTATTGATACTATTTGAAAGATTTTGTTTTTCTATGCAGTTTTTCATATAATTTCCACATAGCTCTAATAGTTTTGTTTTTCTATATAGTTTGAACCAGGGATAACTTAGTTTTCTGTGTGTTACTGTAGTGAAACTAACAGAGACTTTATAAAAGAATCCTGGAAGACGTATCAGCTTTGAGAACTTTCCTTCCGGGACTTTTACAAGGACAGAGGAGTTTGGACAGGCCTTTTGCTTTGCTGGCTCTTGTACAAGCTGGTGGCCTGCGGGGTCTCTGACGCACCGTGACATTTCTGAGGCCCTGAGAAGAGCCTGTTTAGCCCCTTTCGGACATAATCGTGCCTCCCTGAGATGGGGCTACGGGTGTCTCTCCCGTTTCTCAGAGTGGCGCGTGCATACCCGGTGTGCATTAAAGAATCAGCCCCATGCAGTTATTGTTACAGCTGAAAGCCAGAGCCAGCCTGCCCCAACGTTGATAGGCCAATGCTAACATCACAAAAGTGGGCGACATTTCCAGTAGCCAGTTGCACCCAGGAGCGAGGAAATCGAGTGAGAGCCATGATTTTGCTGGTTCCCGTCCTCATGACGGCTGGAGTCTTGCTTCCCTGAAGTAAAGGTTGTTTCACAGAGTGAAAATACAAATGATAACAAGCAAAGTTCATTATTAAAAATAAAGAGCATGAGTTTGTTGGAAAAGTAAAACTCTTTTGATACACACTTAAAGCAGTTTAGAAAATATGTCTGAATAGCCAAACAGCACATTGCCTCTGCTACTCGTCCTTATCCAGCGGCCCCAAATGCCAGGTCCTCGAGGGCTCAGGTAGATGCCACAGGTGTTTGCAGCGACCTGCGGTGGGGCCTGACCACTGGGCAGGGGAGAGTGGTGGGGCTTGGGCTGCACTTGGGGGGGGTGTCTGTCCCTCCAAAGGGCGTCCAAATGCCAGCTGCTCTGGGCTAATCACATGTGTGGCTCTTAAGCCAGTTCAAGCTCAGGATCCACATTTTGGGGAGTAAATGGATCTGGGGTACACGGCCACTCAGCTTCTTTATTTGCACTGGCGGTGGGGGAGGAGGGGAGGAAGAGGCGCTGGGGCAAAGGTCTGCTCCCAGCCTCTTTTCTCACCAGGCGTAAGAATCAGGTTCCTGGTGAGACACAGAACCCGCTTAGCTGGGTCAGTGGGAAGACCAGGGTGGCGGGACTATTTATGGGGGCAGGGCCAGGTGGAGGAGCAGGGGTGGGAACCAAGGAGAAATGCCCCCCCCCCTCCTGACTTCCAGCCTCAGGCGGACACCTCTGATTGACTGAAACCTGCTGGAAGTGTGGCCTACAAGGGGCCCAGGTAGGGTCCACCTGCAGCGACAGGGAGGGGTTGAGAAAGGACCAGGGGTGGGGGATAGGGTGAGGTTTGGGTGGGGACAGTCGGTGGCAGCTGCCCTGACGACACCACTGAGGTACAAGAACCAGGGCCACCACGTCTCAGACAACACCGGCAGCTGCAGCTGGCATTCTCGAAGATTGGATTCTCCTGTCCTGTAAGCTTTCAAGAGAAGATGGCTCTAGAACCTAAGCTGGGACCCAGTGAGGTGGGCAGGGCTGGGGGCTAGACTTAGCTCCCCAGGGGCCTGCCCCTGGCCATATGGTCTCTGCCTTCGCATCTTGGAGCCGGGGAAGCACTCGCTGAGTCGTTCGGGGTGGCAGTGAGTGATCATCCATGGCTTTGTGTCAGTTTGTTGAGTGTCTGAAGTAAAATGTGGCTGATGCTCTACTGTCCCTCTAGGACGTGCCGACCACGTGTTGGGGTGGGTGTCCTCAAACTCGAGTCCACTGGAAATAGGACACAAAGGAAGGTGTCTCGAACTCAGGGCACTGTGTCCAGCCTTCTCGGAAGGGTGGAGGAAAGCACCCGGCACTCACAAGGTCACATTGACCTTGACAGCATGAACAACTTGCATCTTCACGACGTGTGCCATCAAGTGTCATGAGCTACCTGCTGCCTGGGGCTCCGGGCCTTACACATTCCTCCCGGTGGCTGGTCACCATCCACAGCCCCCCCTTCTAGATCTACCCCGACACCCCAGCGATGAGAAATATCCCCGTCGTTAACATCTTACGACTCTCACCATTCAGTAACTGATATTTGGGT